GAGGAAAGTTTCAAGAAACAGTTGGATTCCCACCTGCTAAATGTGCCTGGATATCGCTTCACAACATAGTTTTAAGGTTCATTGTGGAACACTATTTTCACAGTGACCCCAGCAATGTCCGCAATGACTGGAAAGCGACAGAGCTAACAAAGGACCCTCCTTTTGCTCTCTACCACACAATGTATGCATGCAATACTGCCATTCACGTTTTCACATGATAATTCTAAGCATCATCACAATCCAAGAATAACCGCAAATGCCCAACACAATGAAAAATACTAGTCAATAAAAACAGCAGAAGTTAAATAGTTCGCCGCTATTACAAGCAGCAATAAGCAACAGAAAAGCACGTGCTCACGGCTTTCAGCCTACGAAGCGCACATGCCTAAGCGGGAAGAACAGATGCAGATCCAATAGGGACTAGAACGATAGGAAGATCCCTTGAGTGTTCTTGAGCGGATCATTGAGCCAGAAAATGATAAGGTGCTATGAGGTAGTGAGGGATCTAATACGAAACACCCGAACCACATGCTGGTCAACCAATTACTGCCCACATTCCCTGAACTAGCAGTTCCCGCTGTGTAGGTCAAGTGAAGTGAAAGACGTAGAAAGGAAGTGGAAGATAGAGGAAGGAAAATCATTAAAGTGAAGGATAAGATCAAAGTGCGAGGGAATGATAATATGAACTCAAAGTTGGAAGATGGATATGGTCAGGAGAAGGAAAGATTTCGTGTTCCCGCCCAAGAGCGTCTAACCGACGCTCCAAACCCTTAACCGAAGGTACACTGACTACACTTACTGAATGCGAGTTCCAGCGGTCGCTAACTACGCGATAACCGAGTTTCCGCCCTGATTCGGTCGGAATGCGGCGTGTGTAGCTACATGGGATGACCGCGAAGACAAGGTAACCTAGCCGGGCTAAATAGCCAGCTCAACCACGGTCCAACATTCCCTGTTAAAATGCGGGAAGGATTAGGTCTTCTCGAAGCCATCGGCAGTGTAATGAATACATACCCAAGCTAAGTAAGCGCTCGGGGTAGGATTGCCACTGTAACCTCTCGACCAATTTGGTATCTATTCTCAAACTCTCGAGCTCTATTTGGTCCAGAACAAGGCAGAGCGGGCAAGTTTGGACGCAGTACTCCAGAAGGGGCCGAACAAAACCTGAGAACAGCTTCACAAATATGTCGGCAGTTAACACCCCGAAAGAACGGCGTATTAACGGCAACATACTGAAACCCCAACTTGCGGCCTTCTTCCAGTTGTCACCAGAATGCAAAGACGAGAAATGGACGACGTCTGGGTCTACTGGTTGGAGACAAGGGGGAGTTCGACCTTACTGAGCACGTACCTCGAAGGTGGGAAAGTCGTTGCCATATGAAGGAAGGAACATTTGGCCTGATTAAATGGGCATTAGCCATAAAGTAGACCAGTCCCAGAGTCTGTGCAGGGCATGCTGAATGGCCTCCGAACCCCCAGAGACATTTTAGAACATTCCATAGCTTAAGGTCATCAGCCAACCATAGCGATCACACCCCAACATCCCTAGGGAGATTGTTTACATAGATGAAAAACAGCATCGGTCCAAGGACCGAGCCCTTGGTGAGACCGCTAAGGACTACTTGTCTAAAGGATTAGCGGCCACCCACACGTACATACTGCTCACTTCCCAACAAGAATGCAGATACCCAGTGAATGGTGCGGCCAGATACATCGTGGGAGCTCAGCTTCTGTGATAGCCTCAGGTGCAGTGCCTTATCAAATGCTTTCGAGAAGTCGACGACACGCACATCCACTACCTGGCCATTGTCCACTGCTTCGGCCCAAGCTTCACGGGCAACCAACTAATCCGTCAGACACGAAAACCCATTCCGGAATCCGTGTTGTGCGCTACTGAGTAGATTAAATCTATTCAGGTGACTTTCCAAGGAATCGCACCAGCTTTTTAAGCAGTTTGACCACGCTGCTGGTCTGACTAGCCTATAAATGGCTGACAGACTCCTGTCGTCATATTTGAAGATACGACAGATGACAGTCGCCTTCCATTCAGAAAGTAATGTACAGTTGTCAAGTAACTCCTGAAACACCATCGTCAGCGGTCCACTTAGTTCCGCCGCCAACTCATGCAAAAGCTCCGGGTGAAGTAAGTCAGGCCCAGCTGCTTTAGAAGGGTTCAGTTCTTGCAGCAGCCTAAGGACGCGTCTCAACCACAGTAAATTCAGCGAAATGAAAATCCTCAGGGACTCTGGGTACAAGTTCAACGCTAGTCAATACGGCCTCACGTACAAAAGTCCCTGCATACTGCTCACCAAGTATAGGAGCCTTGTCCGAGTCCGCATACGCATGAGTTCCATCGGCCGGCAACAAAGCTGGAACTACCGAACGTGAACCACAGCGCGTCTTAACATAAGCGAAGAACTTCGCTTTTCGTACAACAGCCGAGATTTCCACAAAAGTTGTTTACACCTATTTCTAGCCTCACGGAACCTATCATAAATGCTAGTTAATGGAGTCGCACGGTAGGTCGTCCAGCACCTAGAACGCTTCTGGAGCAGGTACTTTCCAGTGGTATCTATCCAAAAATGTCGTGCTCGTGTCTCCTTTTCCCTCCCAGGCGCGATCTAAGGAGCAGATACTTCCGTGAGATAAGACAACTTTATCCAAGACCGCCTGAACCGTATCGGCCACCGAGATTTCACAACGCAACCCAGAAATCTAGGTATGCATTGCGTGATATTTAGCAGGCCATAAGTTTGGATATGGAACAGCGATGCTCCGGTGACGTCTGGTCAGAGCACAGCTGAAGTATAAACAGACATGATCACTGGCACCTAAGGGACAGCTGTAAGTGATGTCACCTATGAAATCTAGTGACTTGGCAAAAACGAGGTCCAATATAAACGGTACTTAGGCATCTATGTACCTGGTGGGGCGCTCCACAAACTGATGCGACTGTATTGTAGCGTAAGCTTAAGTAATTCTGCACCGAAAGTGCCTTCCGCCGAATTGCAAGAAAGATCTACCCAGCAGCTACCGGTAGACTGAAGTCACCCAGTATCAAACTCCTGTTTGTGGATTGGGAGCGAATAAAGCAAATCACCCCTTTGGACGCACTCCCAGGGCTTCTATACACTAGTACAATTGTAAGTTGGGCCCAGGAAGTGCTAACCGCTACATACAGAGCTTCGACAGTTTTAGTTGCCGAATGAAACATGTAAGTACGCAAACCGTCAAGTTCACAGCTAACGTAAAGCGCAACGTCCCCCCGTCAGCCAACGAGTCGATCACATCTAAATAGCTCGTAGCCAGACAGACGTACTTTAGGGTAGGTGAAGTGCTGAGACGGTGTACGTTTCAATGAACGCGAGTATATGAGGTTGAGTCCCATCTACAAGCAGACTTATCTCGCCCCGCTTATTCCTTAGGCTGCGCACATTGCTTAGTACTATCTGAAGATACTTGTAATGTCCAGCCCAGGGTTGTGCGCTACCAGGACTGGCGCTGGTAGGGCGCAAAAAGACCGCCGGCTGACCATCCTGAAGCCCACCAACCGGAGACGTTGTTCACCGGCCACTTGCCTCGTGAGGTCCTTGATGGCCTCTATTAGCTTCAGCCTAACCGCTAGCGGGAGGTCTGGCTGAACGCTAACATTAGTACCTTTAGTTTGCGCGCGTTGCATTCCTGCGCAGTGGATAGGACCACATGAAGTTAGCACGGTCGAGGGTGTGGGGCGTTAACTGGGACGTTTCCCAATCTAGTCAGTTTCCTGAAAGCAGCACCGGGAAACGCAGGCGGAAGAAGCTTCGTTACGCAGATTTTAAACCACTGGTCGTCCAAGTTACGTTCAGCAGGAAGTACGGCAGTAGATTCCTAAGCGTTACGGAATGTCACGCTGCTATCCATGAAAGAATCCAATCGATGGTGGATTTGCCCCAAGAGCTTTGGAATTTACATGAACAGTAGCCGGCTTAGCCGCAGACAATGAGACTGGGCGCACCTTCTCAGACGACGCTGAAGCAACTGCAGCGTACGTCTTATGCCTCAGCTTATTGGACTCATCATTCTTGACGCTTTTTGTACTGGCCGGAAGAGCAAGGACAGTTCGGTACCGACCTTTCTTTCGTCCTACAGGCGAAGCCCGTGGCTCAACGTCGATGTCCGCCTCCACGAACTGTACGCCCGGAAGACAGGGTGAGCTATTCGGAGTAGGCACCGGAGTTTGGTTAGCACGCGATGGGGACATATGGTGTTTTGCACCCCCTGCCTGCACGGCCTTAGATGAAGCTGAGGGAATTTCAGCACCAGGTGGTATTTCCAGCTCAGACACTTACATCTTGAGCGTCTTCTCACCTCCCTGTTAGGGGCAGAGGGTTTGCGCCCTTCCTTGCTCTCTTTCGCTTATTCTTTTCTGGCCCAGGATCCCGTCACTGACCTTTCATTCGGGGAGGGTCAACAATGCCGTCCGAGGCATCTGAGTCAGTGATCTCTAAGCGAACTGGAGCGTCCGGTAGGATGAAAGACCCATCAACAGACGGCCGGTCAGCAGGGGGACAGTCCGCTATAGCGTCCTCATTCGCAATACACAATTTCATAATCAAATCCACTTTAGTGTTGAGCGAGGAAATAGTGGTAAGCTCGGCTAACGCCTACGTAACTAACTGTACTATGCATCCGGTCGACGGTTCCGAGGGGTTCTGTGTCCGGGGCGTATGTGAATCGTACTAGACCGAGGAAGACCGAAACGCAAAGATATTTCGTAGCCTGCTGTAAAACCACCTAGTGATTGTCGGAAGTGGATGGATTGTGTTCTTGTGTCACATCTCGTGGCTAACTTGGCGGTACTGTCACAATTGCCGATAGAGGACCGAGCGCGAGGCAACTAGGTAGATGGCGTGAAAGCGTACGACGGTTGACTAATACAACAACATCGAAAACGAAATGGCAAAGCAGAGAGAAGGAAACGACGCTCAAAACATGGGCTACGCTCGACGACAACTTACCTGTTGACTTGTGTAATTTTCCTCCGGTCCGGCGTTCCAAGCTCTTCTGTTTCCAAATATTACGATGGGCAGTAATAGACCCTTAGAGCTGCAACACAATAAATACATCGTAGACGGCTGGATGCTCAACCGCCTAGTAAGAAGCCGATGTAGGGGAAGCAGCTAAAGTGGCACGGAAGGAGGAAAAAGTGCCGGAGAGGAATAAGAGAGTAAGGCCAATAGGATGCAAAACTTATCTACCTCTTGCTAACGTTACGGTGATGCCCGCGGACCGGCTATATTATCCCTCCTCTTAGCAGGTGCCATCCTCAGCGCCGGCATCAACTTATATAACTGCAAGAGTCATTGAGCGCGGTACCTTAGGCTTGGGAGATTTAATGACAAGCAGCACTACCGCAGGAGTTAACGATTGCCTCGAGGGTTACGATCAAGCATCGTGGACTGCTGTCGAGAATTAGCAGGGTCGCCAAATATGTAATTCCTCCGGTCCGGCGTTCCAAACTCTTCCAGGTCGAAGCAGTATGATGTTTTGTATTAGAGCCTTAGATCTGCAACACAAAAATACCTAGTGGACGTCTGGATGCTCAAACGACTAGTAAGAGGTCGATTTAAGGGAGACAAGTAAAGAAGCACGAATGTAGAAAGGAGAGGTGCCGAAGTGGAATAAGAGAGTAAGGCTAACAGAAATCGAAACTTGACCTCTTACATGTTAAGGTGTTACCGCGACGCCGCCGGACCGGTTGCACAAATTACGGTGACAGGCTGACGCGTCGAAAATATGCTGTGTGGTTTGGTACAGCAAGCTGTGGTCTGACGCTAATGAGCAATGGAGCGATGAGCGTGATAAGTGCATCCATCTAAACTTGCGACTGTACATGGTCGTAGATTTGGAAAGAGCTAATTTTTGTAACGGCAGGAAAAGGTTTCCCAGGTATTGTATGCGGTGACATAAA